TTAAAGTAGTCATGTCAGTTTTATTTTCAATTGCAAGAAGTAAATTGATCTACTATAAAAACTGGGTACAATAATAATAAAAAATAGAAACATCTCACGCCATCAGTGCAGTTCACTTATTGCGTAACCATATTGACGTAGATGACTGTCTATAAATGTAAGTGAGCGTAGAAAGAAACTTAAAACTATCAGAAACAACAAAACTAGAACAGATATAATTATCAGACAGTTTCAAACAAAGATATTTTTTATAAATTCCTATTTGTTTTTTTTCTCAATGTGCGGTAATAAAAAGCAAGTTTAATGCTTCAGCATATGTTTATCCATCCTGATGTGAACGAAGAGAACGCTCTTGAAAGTTTTTTATACATATCGTTTACAACAAGTTTTAAGGGCTCTACCCCTTTTGTGTGTTTCCACAGTCGATCCTGTCGACCATTCTTCGGCACGAGCCTAACTTGGATACGAAACGACGGTACAAGACCGTCGGAGTTCTTGTTCAAAACCAAAAAATTATAAAGAAATAAAAATAACAGAATGATCAATGAGATCATTTAGCTGTTGGAGCCATTATTAAAAGACTTTGGAAGGAGGAGTACGATCATCTATAAGAGCGAATTTATTCATTATACGTTCTGCTGGTAAAAAATGATTGTGTTCAGTTGAATCCTGGTCTCTTTTAATCTGAATTTTTTTCTTTTGCTTGCTCTTTCCACCAGTTTTCAATTCTGGTCCTTGTAATTAATTTTCCACGTAAACTCAACAAGAGTTTCATTTGGTACTGTTTCAGTTCCGCTCTAGGATATCTTTTCAAAGCATTCTTATGCTGAGTGCGGCCAAATTTAATCAGAGACCCTTCATTTTTGCCTTTTACTTCTATCCCTGGATCAACAAGAGAAAATAAATAGAATGTATTTGGTACGTCCGCTGTCCATTTCAATCTTTCATCCGAGAATCGATTCATATTGTTCCGGCGATGAAGCGCACAGGGAGGACAGTAATAATCGTCGGTCAAGCATTGCATGGGTAACGGCTTCCAGGTTCGTGCACATTCAGGATCACTGCATTCATGTGCTATCCCTTTATGCGTGCCTTCCCATTTTCCAGTTCGCCTGAATCTACCATCTTTCTTTTCTAACAAGAACTTGTCGTACTAGAGAAAAAACAGAGAAAGAGAAAGTTAACGACGCTTCCTCATAAAACGATACAACATAACTACCTCTTCCACTGTCATTCCTAGACCTGTAACAGTTCCAGCTCATAAGTTCAGCTCATTTGAGCGAAAGAACTGTTGAACAGTTCTTTTGAAAGGAGCTGATATGTTTGAGCAGCTCTTTTGAAAGGAGCTGATATGGTTGTAGAGTTCTCTTGAAAGGAACTGAGCTTAAAAGATTTTCTCGCAGAGAACTAGAATGGCCACTAGAGATGTGATAAAGTTAGACAAATCTCGTACAGAAAATGTAAATAGAAAACTTTCGAATTTGTATAACGAGAGCTGCTCTCATGGCGGCGCCAAAGGCGGGCTGGGGTGGGCTCAGCCCATCCTCAAATATTTTGAGCCCACCCAGAAAAATTTTTTCTGGGCTATGTTACTCGGGAGAACAAGTTGGATTTCTCCAAGTAATAATCGAATTTTATTGTTTTCTACTGTTCTACAACACTTGAAATTCGTGAAAAGACGGATGGTATGTTCCGAACATACCATCCGTACACACACTTTTTTGTTAACCTCCGAAGAAGAATTCGAAACCGGTCAGGTTAATAAAATCGAAAAAACGAATCACTCATTGTTATTGTCTCACAATCGTTCAACCGCTGCAAAAAATACATAGTCTGTAAGATTACGCCAAGCGAAGGTATAATCATAAGCAAAGAAAGGGATAGCCATCCTTGCGAATAGACATTATTCAACGACCATATTGCCCCTGTAGAGATGAGAGATAGCACGACTAACACGATACTAAACACAAGATGATCCTTTCAATGCAAAATCTTCTATTTCGCAATTGACCTTGATTGTTACTAAAAAACTTCAGTCAATAAAACAGACACATGAATGCACAGGTAGCGATCTCATCTGAAAACTAGACAAGTTTGACATCCTGTTTTCTTATACGCAAATAAATCTCTCTATAACTCCAGTTAGTAAATTAGAACTGTTCAAACATATCAGCTCCTTTCAAAAGAACTTTTCAACAGTTCGTATGATAGGAGCTGATATGGAACTGTCATATCCCTAGTCATTCCTACTCTTTGCTTTTTAAAGCTGGACAGGCCACAGACATCTTCATTTACTTCTATCTCCTCCACAATTTTGCTTCGTTTTCTATTCATTGCAATTCGTTAAAACGACGAGGATTGCGGTTTATTTGTAACTGAGTTGCAGACTTTATCATAATTACTGATCCAAAACAAATCTAGGAATTTTTCGAATATTCTTATTATGTGAACGACAAGTTACGATATATTTGTGAGTAAATGAATTCATTACGCCCGAATAATTTATATCATCATACATTAGAAAGTAGTATGAACAATACTAGCGTTACCTCGTAGTTGTGAAACTTGCCACGTCATCGTGTTTCTCATTAAAAAAGGTGTTTGAAAAAAATAAAAGCGAGGTTGTTTTGTTTTCTTTCTTTCTTCAACAATAACATATACATTTTCGTGTTTTTTGATTACTTGTTATTGTCGTTGCGTTTTCTCTTCTTGGAATTATTACAAGAGTCTGCTGATTGTTTCTCGTAAACTATTTTCGATACTTAACAAAGGACAAAAGATAATGTATAAAAAAGATTGCTATCAGTGCGCGACAAAAGTTTCGCCCGCAAACAAAATCGTTCATCTTACACATAGCAAGAACGCCAGAAAAAGTGATATCATTATGATACATAGTACTCACTGACAATTCATTATTCATATTTAGCTTGGCTATTTCTTGTCGTTTTTTCAGATTAATTAAATAATAAAAATAA